GGGGATAACATCGACTTTGTACCATGTCTGGCATGCTCCTCTTACTCGGCCCCGTTCGGCTGGCAGAATTTTGGCTGAAATTGACTGAAAAACACTGTTATGGCTGAATTGTTGGGAGAGAAAAACACTGTTCCGGCTGAAAAAAGAAGCCGAACAAGCCGAATATGGGGTAAGCCGAACGGGTATGCCTGTGCTTTGCAACAGGAGAAAAAACTATCAAACGTTCAATCTGCACAGTTGCAACAGCCGCAAAAGCTTAATTTGTATAGGTGCTACTTTTGATACTGTGAGTGGTTGCTGCAGCAATCACAAACGAATGACCTCGTTGATGGAAACAATGACGACAATGTTAAATATCTATTTATCTTTTGGTAGAGTTAGATATCAAGTCCAGTGGCTTCTTTTAAGGATCCATATAAATACGTAATTTTAATATTCTATTAAAGTCAGCAAGGGGTTGGTTGTCATCGTTTCTCGATGTCCACATGTCAGCCTTATTCTGTGGCTTCTTTTGAAGACCCATAAAATATGTAATTTTAATACCTTATTAAAGTCGGCAAAGGGTTAGTCATTGTCGTGTCTCGATTTTCACATGTCAGCCTTATTGAGAGGTGAACTATTATATGCGTATACATTAGATATTTACAGTGGCATGTGCGGATAGTTTGAAGAAACAATTATTTTTATTAGATTGGATGATAAAGTGTCTAAGATTTAAGTTTACGTTTTGATTAATTAGTTAGGTCATCAGCCGCTTTATCTTATAATAATAATAATTTATTTATTCCTAAACAACTTAGTAATAAAATATCTGTTTATTACAGATAAGGGTTAACGTTTGAAATACCTATAGTATTGTATTTATTGTTAGAAGCTAGTAGCAGCCAGCGTGGAATTATTGGCGACTTTCACCTTCCGAACGGTAGCCTTTTCTAGACCAAGACTACTCCAAGAGAGCAGCGTAGAGGGGGCTCGTGTGCGAGGGAGCCCATTCAAAAAACGACATGGAAAAAAGGGACACCGAAAAAAAAAGAAAACGGTTAGCGTTAAAAAACGGAAGTGAAAAAATACGAGTCAATGCAACTCGAAGTCTCGGACACGGAGCGTCGTTGCGTTGGACGAAAATTACATACATAGAAAAAGACCAAAATAAGAAACTCTCAGTATATATTAGAATCGGACTCCGTATCATTGTTAGACGCGTGGTATTCTAATACACATAGCATAGACCCAATATGTTTTGTAATCGGAAACTCTGTATCACGCTAGGCAAGACCTATTCTAACTCGTATGCACACGAGTTATTTATATATATAAGTCTGGACGGAAGAAATCTTTCTATTATCCGATAATTAGAGAGAGATGGATAAAAAAATGGATGGACGAAAAAAAATAACAAAAAATTTTGCCTCTTTATTATTAGAACAAGATAAATTAGCCTGTGCATTGCAACGGGTCGTTGTTTTCACTCTTAAGCTGTTATTAACACTTTCCTCAGTCATATTTGAATTTGTCATCGACACTCTCGACGACAATATATATCGACACTCTCCACGACAAGTATTGACATCCTTAAAGCATCTTACAGACACATTTGCCATTGGTTAGTCGTTCATAGTTGTGCACCGGTGGTTCTCCATTGCACACGCTAGCGGCTTCATGTATGTCGTCTTTCTTAATCGTATATAATAAATCTGCCTCTCCTTATGCATGGTCGCGCTTAGTGTGTCCGAGCTCGTTCATCCACAAAAGCTTATGTGCTAGAATGTTGCTAGAAGATATATTTTTTATTAGTTGCTTTTGCTACTACAAGATATATTTTTTTTGCATGTGCACTGCATTTAAAAACATAGGACAAGTTTAGGGACGAAAGTTACTCTGTTTTAACTCATCTGTCCTCCGGTTCCTTTCTCTCTCTCCAACCTGTCATCCTCCTCAAACGTCAAATGTGAGACGATCACGTACAGCAGCAGGGCGGGTGGAGGTGGAGCGGAGAGCGAATGCGGCAAGGCAGGCGCAGCGCAGGGTCCGGCCGGCGAGTCGCGCGGCCCAGAAAGTCCCGGCGCATGCATAGCTGGCGAGGCTCGGAGCCTGCGCGGTGGCGAGGGCGCGGAGCCGACAAGGCGCGAGCATGGTGTAGCGCGCAGAGCATGGAGAGGTCGCATGGTCGGCATAGTGGACTTTGAGGAGTGGCATGCGAAGGCGGGTGGGGTGCGCTGCTGGTGAAACGCGTGAGCCCAAACGCGGGGGTATATAGGCTCGGGAAAAAACTGCAACGGAGAAAAATGGAAGAAATTCTGGTCGGTTCGTAAAAATCGATAATACGACGCGGGAAACAGACTGAGCCAGATACGACAGGAAGTACAAAATTACTATCACAGAAATTTTGGCTATTAAATACTAGGTATATATATATAGATTCAAAATCAAAATTATATTAATAATTTAGTGGTGAGAATATTTATTAGAAAAAGATGAAAGGTGCAAAGACCCATAAATTTGTATTTATTATTTATTATTTTGTTGTATAAAACAAGAGATACTGTTCGGTCAACAGCGGGAGCGGGACCAGAAAAGAAAAAAAAGGGAATCACCAAAAGGTAAAAAGCATTCACGGAAAACAGAAGTGGGACACGGAAAGGAAAAGGCTGTGGAACAGTGCAAGCAGGGCACGACACGGAAGTAACAGAGAAAAACAACCCATGTTACTGTAGGAGGCGGAACCGAAACCAAAAACAGTGGGAAAAACGGAGTCACTCGAACTTTTTAGAGAAACTGAATTAAAAAAACTTGCGGATAAGAGATTTAGGAATAAAAAAAAACAAAAACAGAGAAACCGTAGTAGAAGAGAAATAGCGGATAGAAGTTCTCAACAAAAAACGGAAATAGAGAACGATAGCAGAGAAGCAGTTTTTTTTCTGGGTAAAAAGGCGAAGCAAACAAACGGACGAAAAATTAATAATATGTATATAGGTATAGATAAATTTGTCTACTTTCTATTCTTACCCAATACGTTTTGAAATCGGACTCCGTATCATATATATATATATATATATATAGACAAATTTGTCTAATTTCTATTTTTACTCAATACGTTTTGAAATTGGACTATGTATCGCGCTAGATAAGAGTTATTCAAACTCGTATGAGTACGAGTTATATATATAAATCCGAACAAAAGAAACTCTTCATTGTTCGGTAGTTAGAGGGAGACGAACAAAAAAAAATAGATGGATAAAAAAAATAGCTGGATATTTTGCCTCTTTATTGTTAGTGGTATATATATATAGATGTATAGATATAAATATAGAAAATGTATAGATATAGATATAGTAGGAAGGAGGACCCCAATGCGGAGCACGGGCTCAGGCTCACGGTCCAGGACTATCCGTTCGCCAAACGACGACCTGCTCGTCTGGGCCGGGCTGGGTGACGGCGTACGGGCACCCTCGCCGGCTATGCGCCTATGCGGAGCTGCAGGCGTTCTGGACAGACGTGCGCACCGTGGGGCACGGTGACAAGAAGGACGTGCCAGGGTGGGCAGCGTTGGACTCGCCGGAGAGCCTGGCGTACACGCTGACCACCATCGTCTGGGTCGTCAACTTCGAGCAGTACGACTTCGGCGACTACTTGCCCAACCGGTCGTCAATCGCGCGCACCAACATGCCGGTGGAGGAGCCCGTCGACGCCACCACGCTCTAGGCGTTTCTGGACAACCCAGACCACCGCGAGTGCTTCCCGTAGCGGGTGCAGGCGACACTGGTGATGGCCGTGCTGGACCTGCTGTCCACGCACTCCCCCAACAAGGAGCACCTCGGCGGGCTGGAGACCGCACTGTGGAGACTCCTAAAAAATTGTTTTATTTCTAGAATTCAAATTTTAATTTAAGAAATTTCTTATGATCTCATATGTAAACCTAGTCTACACAAAAGTTTTAGTTCTCTCAATGAAGTCAACAACTTTGTAGTATACAAGTCCAACCATGGTATGAACTATAATTCCAAAATGTATTGGAACAAATAACATAATAATACGATGTAAATTGTGTTGTAAGGCACATGACATGTTCGGTACTTTTTTGTTTCAAATTGTATGTCGCTTTGGCTTTTCTAGGTACATATATATAGTATTTGTTATATACTAGATATGCATTACATCGAGATACATAGTAAAAAGTTATAACGACTTATGATTTGAAACCTAAGATATATACCTAATAATATTAAAGAATGCTCTAAATTTTGGTTAATCGCACTCTCTCTCACTCTGTCCATCCACTCTTCGGAGCATAAAAATTATAGCCGATTTTACTAAGAGTAGTAGTACCTAATGAATTAGAGATTAATTGTCCTACTTAGTTTATTGTCCCGCTCATGACCTAAACTTACGATGGCTCATACTCGAATAACACACGTGACACGTCCAATCATGACAGAGTCTGATATCAAAATGTATCAGGACAAATGACTCAAGATGTAAATTTTGTTGCAACCCACAGAAATGTTTGCTGGTATATATCAAAAGATAGAATAAAGAAGAGAAAGATATATCAGGAATTGATTATTGGTATGAATAATTTGCATAGCTCATACCCGAAAGCTAGCTAGCCTCATGGAGCTAAATAATTCTTGACGTGTCAGGATAAGTATATTCGTGAGGAACCCCTAAAATCTTGTCGTCATTACGATCAATATCTGTGAGGATCAAATTTTATGACATATTAGCATACAATCAATGCACCTAAATATATATGGTATATGTGTACCATAAAGATTCGATTTGAAGATTGGTGAATCAAGCATCACTAGAAACATATATATAGCATCAAGAACCGAAGCTTAAATTTACGTAAAAAAAACTGGAATTGATCTGGCAAGACTAATTTGCTTGTGGCTCCGGTCTATATAAGCAAGCACTAGCAAGACGAAACAGCATGAATATACTATCACTAGCCTCTACTCTCTAGCCTCTAGGCAAGAAAAGAAGATCAAGTAGCCTCCATGGTGCTCCTCGTGGCCTGCTGCTCCAACAAGAAGGATCTCTTTCTCGCGGCGACGCTGCTGATGGTGATGGCTCTCCTCGCGGCGGCGTCGGTGTCAGGGGAGATTTGCAACAGAGTTGTTGTCTGCAGGCAAGAGATTTGCACGGGAATGTGTGCGGTGATGGGAGGCAGTACTCTTGGGGCATGTAGGTACATTGGTGGCATTCCAACCTGCTGCTGTCTCCTAGAATCGGGCTCCACATCCGTCGGCAGTGTCCACCAGCCTGTTCATTGATCTGTCGTCGCTTGCTTGATGCAACATTGAGCAGCAGCAGCTGGTTATTTCTTTTAATATGAACAAAATGTATCAATGCGTGTGATTGTATGAGGAACGGACTATTTCGACTATAGTCATAACAGCTGCATACGAACATGTTGTGGACACTCGAGCAGGTGTCGTAGACACGGATGTAGTTCCGGAGGCATGCTCTTCCAACCTTCTGTGCGCGCAGGAGATTGGAATGGGGAGAACTAAGAACAGCTCTACAGAGAAAGGAGGGTACGGGTGCAGTATTCTCATATGCGCGAGGCTCTGACGTCCTCATACGTGAGCGGACAGAAGTTGGAGCGTCGAGAGGATGAACTTGGATTGGCAAAATCACCGGGCTCACGATTACTCCGTGAAACCGACAATGGTATCAATCCCAGTAATGCCTCCATCAATCAGCCGATCGAGCGTGGAGAGTTAACAGAAACTCTCCAACTCTCGCGATTACTCCGTGCAACCGACAACGGTATCAATGACGATAATGCCTCTATCAATCATCCCAAGTGGAAAATCCAAGCTCGGCCCGCACCACATCATGTCATGGAGTGGTGTGGATCGAGCCCGTCAGCTTACGTCTCAGCAGTGTTATGCGTGCGCATGTGGCACACCCTTAGCCTCCCTCAACTTCTCAATAGGAACACACATCGTCCACGTATTTAAGTTGAGTCAACGTATCTTCGAAATCTCATTCAGAACTAAAAATATATTGTGGATCGAAAGCTAGCTAGCCTTATGGAGCTAAATTATTGTGGACGTGTCAGGATAACTATTCGTGGGAACCCTGAAATTTTGTCATTACAATCAACATCCGTGAGGATCAAATCACATTTTACGACATATTAGCAGCCAATCATTGCACTTAAATATATGGTATATGTACCATATAAATGAGCACAAGCAAGACCAAAGAGCATCGATCAATCAACAAGAAACATTTTTCGGTAGCCTCCATGGCGTTCCTCGTGTCCTGCTCCAAGAAGAAGGCTCGATCTCATTCTTGCGGCGACGCTGCTGATGGCGGCTCTCCTCGCGGCGGCGTCGGTGTCAGCGGAGATCTGCAACAGAGTTGTTGTCTGCAGGCAAGAGACTTGCACGGGAATGTGTGCCGTGACCGGAGGCAGTACTCTTGGGGCATGCAAGTACATGTGGGGCTTCCCAACCTACTGCAGTGTCCTACAATCAGCCTCCACATCCGTCGTCGCGGGCAGTGTCCACCAGGTGTTAGGATCGACACCCCAGCTGCTGTGCCGGATGATGAACAGGGGGCCTCGACGTCAGGTGCAGCGGCAGGAAGACCAGAGCAGGCCAAGACCAAGAGTGCTAAAGTGTATGGGCCGGAATGGGAGAATGAGTGAGCCTAGTAACGTAGCATGTGTGTGCTCCTTTTATCTGCTGCACCGCCCCTACTCCAATTCCTCCTTTCCCTTCCCCAATTGCTAACAAATTGGTATCCAGAGCCTATCCTTCCTTGGCCGAACCGTCCCCATCCATCTGCCTTAATTGGAGGTTGCAATTTCTGCTCCGATCCCCATCTTGGAACCCCACGAAATCATCCATGACCACTTCACCAGTTTCCGAAAGCAACTCGGGGCCATGGATCCCAATACCAAGCTTCTTCTCGATGAGCTCAAATCGGTGAAGACCTCCTCGAGTCATCTCTCGCGCGTCGAATCGGAGAGGTGGAGGCATCGCTGGGCAAGCAGATCGGGGCCGTGGAGCACTCCATCGTGGACCGGTTCAACCGTTTGGACGATGCCGCTAAGGTGTTCGGACGAATGGAAGCCTGGGGTGGGTGGCCGCGTCGGTGGCGGAGCTGCGCGACGGAGTTGAACGTGATCCGCAAGTCTGATGCCGTGGTGGAGCAAGCGGATCGCGAGGAGATGACAGCGCTCCGCAAAACCGTGAGTCATGTGGTGCTTGACTCGGATCCGTCAGCATCCGCTGGGGTCCTCAAGTCCCAACCTGTGGTGGCCTCGGCGACATCATCTGCCGGGCACCCGGCCATCGGCCTGTTTGTTGGGCATGGCGCTGCACATCACCACTGGGGATTCGAGTCCATGGCTCAAGCCTCGGTCAAGGGTAAGCTCACCGAAACCCTTCCCCAGCCCACCCATCAGTATGTTCTCCATAAGTCGCTTTCTAGCTCTGCGCTGGATTTGGGGGAACGAGAGTTTCATGGAGCTAGCGGGCATGAGCATCGCGCGCATTGGGGGCCACAGTACTCTAGTAGTAAATTGCCTAAGATGGATTTTCCGGTTTTCGATGGGGAGGATCCAAAGCTGTGGCTCAGTCATTGTGATGATTATTTCGACATGTATTTTGTTGAGCCGAGTCAGTGGATTCGTGTCGCCACGATGCGGATGACTGGAGCCGCGTCTCGCTGGCTGCAGTCCTTAGATACTAATGCGAAGAAGCTTCATTGGGAGGAGTTCTGTAAGTTGGTCCTTGATCGTTTCGGTCGGGATCAATATGAGTTGTTGATTCGTCAGTTATTTCACATCCACCAGTCAAGCGCTGTTCAAGAATATGCCGACTGATTCATTGGCTTAGTTGATCAGCTCATAGCTTATGGCAACACCACAAATCCCTTGTTTTATGCAATGCGTTTTGTCGATGGGTTGCGCGATGACATCCGTTCTGCTGTTCATATGCAACGACCATCTTCTGTGGATGCTGCCTATGTTCTCGCCTTGTTGCAGGAGGAATTGGTGGATCCCAGGCGCCGGAAGTCTCCGTCAAAATCTCCACCCCAGCTGCTGCCTGCCACCGGACATGATCGTGGTGGGCGTGTTCCTGCTGGTGGCGCTCCGGGTGATGATCGGCGGCCTCATGGCATCGAGGACAAGCTGGCCACGCTTCGATCTTATCGGCGTGCCCGCAGTCTCTGTATTCGTTGTGGAGAAAAATGGTCGCGTGACCATAAGTGCCATGAAGCCCTTCAATTACATGCTTTGCAAGAGTTCTGGGAGATGCGTAGTGGGGAAGAATCTAAATGCTCTGATGAAGTCACTTCTAAAGAAGATTCTCCACAAGTCTTCGCAATTCAGGTACTGGCTAATGTTGCTCCTCCTCCTCCTGTTCGTTCCATTCATCTGGAAGGCATGGTTCAGGGAATCCCAGTTCACATATTGGTCGACTCGGGTAGCTCATGTTCTTTTGTCAGTACTTCTTTGGCTAGTAAGTTGACCGGTGGTTCCACTCTCTCTGTACTGCCGCGTGTCCTCATTGCTGATGGCAGTTTAGTGGAGTGTTCTCAGTCGTTCAGTTAGCTTACTTGAGAGGTCCAGCAGTGTCAGTTCACCACCTCTTTCCTGGCTCTTCCAATGCCATCTTATGACATGATCTTGGGTATGGATTGGCTAGCGAGTCATAGCCCAATGCAAATTGACTGGCAGCATAAATGGCTTCAGATTCCTTATGAGCCGTCTATTGTTCGTCTTCAGGGCAAGCTGACACTACTGGAGACAGCTTCTTTGCCGAGTGTCCCAGCCTTTGCCGAGTGCTTTTTATCGGGCGCTCGGCAAAGAGGCTATTTGCCGAGTGCCATAGAGAAAGCACTCGGCAAACAAATGGCACTTGACAAAGAGGTGGTTTGCCGAGTGCCGAGCACTCGGCAAACAATAACACTTGGCAAAAACCAGGTTTACCGAGTGTCGCGCACTCGGCAAATAGGAACACTCAGCAAAGGGCTGCCGCCATTAATGGCCGGCAGCCGCCGTTAACCCTTTGTCGAGTTCATCGTTCGACAAACATCGGCAATTCCTCCCTCTTGACCATGCACTCAGACGAGACATCAAGAACTTTACGAAAGGTGTCGTAGTGACAGACCCTGCACCACCGATAATGACTGGTGCCACGGTTTGTGAACAGATAGATGGTCTCGTGGTCAATCCAGAAGGTGGTTTTGTGGGATATGGAGAGCAACATATGTGGACTCATAAGTCGGGCTTGACTCGGCTCCCCTATTTTGATGACCTTCTCCTTCCACACAACATTGATGTAATGCACACTGAAAAGAATGTCGCCGAGGCACTTTGGGCAACAATCATGGACATTCCTGACAAGTCAAAGGACAACGTTAAGTCTAGAGTGGATCTGGCAACGTTATGCGATAGACCAAACCAACATATGAAGCCTCCTAGTCGTGGCAAGACATGGAGAAGGCCTAAGGCCGATTTTGTCTTGAGCAAGCCCCAAGGGAGGGAAGTACTAGAATGGATCCAGACGTTAATGTTCCCTAATGGGTATGCAGCTAATCTGAGGAGGGGAGTGAACTTATCTACTATGCGAGTCTTAGGGATGAAGAGTCATGACTACTACATATGGATTGAGCGGCTTCTTCCGACGATGGTTCGAGGCTATGTCCCTGAGCATGTCTAGCTAGTGCTGGCAGAGTTGAGCTATTTCTTTCGCCAGCTTTGTGCCAAGGAGTTATCTCAGACCGTGATTGCTGACTTGGAAAGAATGGCACATGTGTTGCTCTGTAAGTTGGAGAAGATCTTTTCACCCGGCTTCTTCAATCCGATGCAGCATTTGATTTTGCACCTCCCGTATGAGGCACGAATGGGGGGGCCCGTGCAGGGCCGTTGGTGCTATCCAATCGAGAGATGTCTAAAGGTTTTTTGAAAGAAATGTAGAAATAAATGCAAAATCGAGGCTTCAATTGTAGTGGCATACATTCTGGAGGAGGTGGTAAACTTCACAACAACATACTATGGTGACAACCTCCCTAGCGTGCATAATCCACCCCTCGTTACAATGCTAGCGAAAATGAATCGAACCTCAGCCTTTTTCGAGGGCAACTCGGAAGCGCAAGTGCATCGACCCCCAAGACCTTGACTCATGAAGAGTGGCACCATATCATGCTATACGTGTTGACCAACCTTGACGAAGTGGCGCCGTACATGCAGTAAGTTCTCAACGAACTTGTTAAATACGTCGTCACTATTCTGCATCCAACCCCCTTG